CATCGTAGATAATATAACCCTTCACACCACGTAGAGTGAAATCTTTCAAAAGATCCACGAAAACCTCCTCGCTCCCGCAATCTGATACCGTTTTTTTAGTATTGTCAAACAGGTATACTGAATTCTTAATAATGTACGCAACCATTGGGAGTTTCTCCACATCGTATTGCAGCAGCCGGTAGAAAAGGTACGAGCCGGCATTCATTGACTTCCCGATCCCGGGCGTCCCAATCACGAGACGCTTCTTAGGCGAAAACACGGCCTTACCGTGACTGCTGAACCACTTAGTTAGATCGCCCTTGACGATCTGCCACACTCGATCCACCTCACAGTCCACATAGCAGTCACAAATATGTTCACTCCCCGCCCACGAGTACGGCCATGCCTTGTCCGAGGTGAGAACCAACAGCCTGGGACGCGGTGCACCGGATTGCTCCACACCGTCATCCTTTTTGAGAGTGTCGTCAACTTTCTTGTAATCCCATGTCTGCTGTGGTTCCCCCTCCTTCGCCTCCATTCCCGTACCCTCGCCGTCAGAAACTTCCACCACATGGCTCCACCTCGCATTGTACACAGAATTGTAGCATCCCTCCAGTTTCTCCGGTGCGCTCGTCGTCGTTGGGTTCCTCGCTTCCTCGGCGGCTGCATCCAAAAACCTTTTTGTGATTTCATGAACAGTTGCTTTTACCTCCGCAGCATTCACCAACCACTTCAGTAACTTGTCCACACCTTTCTCGTAAAGCTCGTCTGCATCTTCCTCCATATTCATTTCATCCCTCACAGCCCTCTCCATCCTCAAATAACGATCCGATGCCTGCATTCCGCCCAATACTTCCGCATCGCAAATATACTTCTGGGAATCCTTAAAAAACTCCTCAGCAAGACATCCCGATTGTCGCGCAAAGCGCCCCTGCCGTCCAATTCCATCGCAAGAAAATCATTCAGCCGCATTTTATCCACGCGAACCCTTCCTTTAAACACAGCATATTTAATCATAGTGGAAACGTAAATTCCCAGTTCTCGTCGTTCTCGCCTTGCCTTTTCTTCTGCCTTCCGCCTCTCTACTCTCAGTACATGAGAGTAGGCTGTGCTTATTTGTGCCATTGCGAGAGGAGTGACCGTATCCTTTCTTTTAAATTCCCTCCAATGCCTGAGAGTGAGAAGACGTTCGTCTCCAAGCTTATTTGAAGCCCCCGATAGCACGTAAAACTCCTCACGCTCTTTTTTCAGCTCTTGGTATGACGGCAATGCCTTTATTTTGCTCAATAACACTTCGTCTTGGATGAAGTCATTGGGGCTACTTAAAAAGTCCTCCATAATGACGTTCTCATTGAATTCCCCCAAGGCCCCTGCCGCCAAAATAATTCTGAAGGAAATCATTCAGCCTCATGTTGATGATGCGTTCATTTCCCTCCAGCAGTAATTTATGCAGCCTACTGTCAAGAGTCTACTGCGGTCGCTCTTTACTCTCCGCTACATGTCGAGCTGCAGCGTCGGAACCATCGCCGGAGATGCCACGGCGAGGCGCCATCACAACGCCCGTGCGGTGAAGCATCCCACTCGCACCGCCCAACTGCGGCCAGCAGGTGCCGCTGGCTCCAAAGGACACTCGCGGCTGTCTCGTCCCGCAGTCGCAATAGCGTTGGGCGTGGCACTCACACGGCGGGGCGGCCGGTGCGCCATGCAGCCGCACTGCAACGCCTGTCGGTGAAACAGTCAAGGCCCACCGCCCCCGCAGCAACGCAACGTGCAACCAACCCCAACACCGCCACATTATCGCCCTTTTTTATTTTATTTCATTCACGTTGTCTGTCCGTTTGCCCTATCACTGGCGATAAAAATAACTCCGCACTCTCGCAGAGAAAGAAAAAACGCGATCCCACCGTCCCGCCGCGGGCCAACACTCTCCTCCACCCACCACCATTGCCGCGCAGGATACCGCAGTCACATTGGAGAGTCAACACCACAATTTGCACCACACCATCGTGCACTGAACAATGGACGAGACGCAGCCATGCATCCCCCGCTCCATTTTCCCACCCATCAAGTGTTGCGTGCCCGCACAGAGTAGCAAACAGAATCCGAGTGCACACAAAGCCAATCAACACCCTCACTCGCTGAAGCACATTATTCGCATGGAGTGACAACATTTGGGGACACACCAGCGGTAGAAGGCTGCACAAAATTTCCCTGACAACCCTGCAAAGAGACACAACAACTCTGCGGAATAAAAGTGACAGCCCTTCGGTGCTGCCCGCAGTTCACATGGCAGGAAGAATTCCACGCACGCATGGTTCCGGACACCTCGCTGTTTGAGTGCACACCAACAGAACGTGTGAAAAAAATACGTACGCGCAAGATGGCGGTTAAATACGTGAAAACTTCAGCCTGTTTTGTTCGATGGTCTTTGCGAGCAACCTACACAATCCAATCAAGGTGTCACGCCGGACAGAATGGCGTCAGCTAATAATAAATGAAAATAATTGCGCCAATGCAAAAAGCAGCAGGAATTTTGTTTTTACTCCCGAATTCGGGGGGGCGACGGTGGCATGAGAGTGTGTATGTGCGCAAGACCTTTCATGGGACGGTGCTGTCCAATCCCGCCGTGCCCCGACACAAAAGGGCAACAGAAAAAAGAAGCGCACTCTCCAGAAAGGGAGTGACGGTTGGGCAGTCAACCCCCGTTCCTTCTCACATGACATCCACATATGTGCACTCCACCTCAAATACGTACCTCCCTGAACGCCGCATGCATGAAGTGTGGTTTCGTCACTCGCAATGTGTTTTTCCTCCCGCAAACAACCAAAAGGATGGCCATGGCGCAGCTCCACTCAGGGGAAGCAATCGGAACAGACACGAGTGGGGCCAGGGATCATACCAAATAATAATAAAGGGTAATAACTCCTCCAAGCCACAAAATCGTGCAATGTTCGTCCCTCTCCTTCCAAATTGAAACTTCCCCAACAGAACTAACGCAGCACACACATGTGCAGCAAAATATCTTTCGCTGTCCCGCGTCCCATCTTACTTCCCATGCGTGCCACGGCGGTGGTTGCGTTACATCTGGAACGAGTCCAAAATATCAGGCAGCATTGCTGTGGAAAGTGGATGCATAAAGAAGTGCCCGCGTCAGCGTATAACTGGAAATGACATCAATATATATATATATATCCGCGATACAAACTACCCGTGTGTGGCCGTAATAAAGCAAACACTGAAACACGTGTGGAGCGACTTAAAAAGAAAGAAAAAGAGAAAAAAGAACTAATGAAATAATCCACAGAAGTACATCGATACATATATGCATACACAGAGTAATACATCAATCCGCATAATCCGTCGTTCCTTCTCTCGTTGTTCTTTCGACACAGCATCAGAAGCATAAGGAGCGGCAGGCATGCCCTCCCACACAGTCATCGTGCAACAGGAGAGAGAGTCACTGCAGGCACCCGCACAAACAAAATAGAAACAAACCAACAAAAACCAACAATCAATGACGCTTTCGGAGCGGAGTCCGATGGGTGGCTGCGCAGCTGCAAAGCCGTGGCCCCCACGCCCTCCCTCATTTCAGCCAGCAACGCACACTCACAACCTCCAGGAGGTGACACGTCACAGAAGGGCTTCATCGATTGTTTTCCCTAACGTTTTCCTGAATGCATCCTATGATCCGCACACCTGCCACCACCGTCGAGCACGTCCTCACTACTAAGTATAGATATGAAAGAGAGAGAGCACCAGCCCCCATACTCGGTGCTGCAGCAAAGAGCGTAAAACACACGCACACGCACCCGTTACGCATCCGCCCCGGGCTAGCGTGATACCCCGATAACCCGTCGTCGTCGATAATCGATAAAATAAGAACGCCAAATCAATCACCCAATCAATCTATGAATAATTAAAAGAAAGAAGATGCCTAGCAGAAGCATCCACGTCATGCCGCATCTGCGAGGGCTTTGTGTCTTCTCGCCGCGTAACGGTACTGTTGGGTCGGGGCATTTACATCCCAAAAGGAGAAAGTGCACTAAATTTTTCGTCAAGCGGAGCATCCTCACCTGTCCAGAGGAGCATAATTAATGCTGCAGCTCGCACTGAGTGCAACGTCGAACAGGCTCAGGGCGTCTGAGCGGGTGTCACCGCCATGGGTTGCAACGGCGGTGCGGGTGGTCGGTACGACGACGCAACGGTGGTGCCTGTGGCGTACGACGATGACGTCATGTCGTGCGGCTTCTGCGTCTCCTCGCCGCCATCGCCGTCATCGCGCAGCAGCGCCTCCAGCCCTCCACGCTGCGGCTCGCGCAGCTCCTGCCAGTGGCGGTCCTCCACGTACCACACAACGACGCTGTACACAGTGACCGCGAGCGGCACGGCGGTCAGCAGCAGCACGATCGCCGCGTACGCCCTCGCACCGCCGTCGCTCGGCGCAAGATGGTTGGCCGCGCTCACCAGGCACAGCGCCGCAAGGAGCACAAAGCCCGCCGCGTGCATCACCGTCAGGAAGGCCGAGCGCATCATGTTCGTGAAGGCAACCACGCCCGCACCCGCAAGCAGCACAGCCGCCATGCAGAAGTACTGGACGTGGCAGCCTCCCACGGGCGGGTGCACAGCCGCAATCAGGCACACCACACACAGCACCGACAGCTGGAACACGCACCAGTACACGCGGCTGCCCCTCATGCTCGTCAGCATACTGCCGTACATCCGCTGCTGCGCCGCGGGGAACCAATACCCGACGGGGTACAGCAGGCGCTCGTGGAGCGGCTTCCTCGAAAACTGCCAGTACCTCGTGAAGCTCGCGCCCGTGTGGCGGGCAATAAAGTAGCACACGCCAGCAGGGAACGCCACCCCGTACAGCACGCCAACGACACCGATCACGCGGTGATGCACGCGGGCACCGGGCATCGCCAGTGCAAGCACAGAACCGAAGAAGACGCCGAGGTGCATCGCGTGCGCCACGACGTACGTCAGGCTCGGGAAGCGCATCGCAGCCCACGCACTCGCCGCGTCCACGCCGCGCCACCGCTGGAAGGCCGCCGTCACACCGCAGTGCACGCACCCGAACACAGCGGCGAGCAGCGCGTTGCCCACCACCATCCACAGCGGGTCACGGGCAGCAAACACCGACAGGAAGTACGGCAGCGCAACGGTGCTCGCACGCTCCTGCGCCGAGGCGCATGACATCCTCGCGAACACGCCGAGCGCCTGCATCTCCAGGATGGAGCCCAGCCCGCCAGTCACCACCACGGCAACAGCCGCCGCACCCGCAACAACGCCGGTGATCGCCGAGAGGGCGCTGGCAGCGGCGGGCAGCGTGTCGGACCTGATCGTGAAGGACCCAAGCAACACACCCTTGCAGCCGCCGGAAACAGCCGCAGCGTCGCAGCGAATGAATATCGTCTCGTCGGCAGCAACGAAGTAACCGCGGTACACGGGCACAGCCAGCTCCAGGACGGTGGACGGATTCGTCGCGTTGCGCACCCACGTCGCGTTGCTCAGCATCGCTCCCCACGGACCACCAAACCCGCGAGGCTGCGCCGTCGACACAGGCACAAAGCTCAGGTGCGTGCCGAGCTGCGGGTCGCGTGCCCACCGAAACGGCGGCGGCAGCGCCACCATCAGCCGCGTCGGGACGGCGCTCCCACCGCCGCGAATGTCGCTCTGCGTCAGGCTGCCACCAGCCGCCGTCGTCGTCACGGCGAGCGTCGGGCACGCCACGTCGCTCCACCACAGCGTGCTGCTCACCGACGCCGTCGGGGTCCGCGTGGGCGACAGCGCCACCGTCTCCGTCACCTGCAGGGTCTCCGTCTGACTGTACTGCGTCGG